GAAAGGGAGGATGTAAATTTGAAAAACACTGGTGCCAAAGAGCGTCAATTTTCATATTTTTGACAAGTGACTGTGCAAATTAAAACTGAGATTGAAATGAGGACAGGAACATTCATGTCTTCACTAGGCAACCATATGTGTTCAGAAAAAAAACGAGGCGAAACCGGTACTAATACATCTTCTCATCAAAACCGGTACTAAAACATTTTCTTCTTTCGTAGCAACAGCGGTGGAAAATACACTGCTCTGCCTGTAACCACTTTCGCTAAGGTGCAGCCCAGATTCGTAAAAACCCCGTAGAGTCTGTCCTTCGGGAAATCGTAGCGAAGAAGAAACAGGGAAAGTTCAGGGTCCGAAAAACTGAAACAGAGACAATTTAGAAGGAGGTACACCAAGGGAACTGAGAGCAAACAGAAAGTTTCGTGAGTAGTGGAAACCGGTAAAAGTACCCAGTCATGCTACGGCTGTATCGGTAGCAGTGCCGACAGAACTGCAGTAATTCTGATGCAAAATGATGCATGAATCCCACAACATGGGATTCCATTTTGGCGATCCTAGAACCGGGCCCTCGTTGAAAGCTGTCGTCGAAAGTTGATACATATGTCAGGATTCAAAAGATTCAAGAACGTAACAACGAGGAGTTCGCTGTTCTTTCGGTTCATATTTTCGCAGAAAAAAAGATTTTTTTTCGACATCTGCCCTTCTGACTTCCGTAATGAGAAATGTTCATTCATTCTGAAACGAACTAATTCGAGATAATCCACCTCTCTTTTAGGATTGCAACTGCGATTAAATCCAGGAAGAAGCAGCTGTTAATGGCCGACAAAAAAAAAATAACTGGCCAGCGCACCGCCTGCCGATGCGAGGATGCGTTTTTTGCATAGTTCCCTGCAGGCTTTTATAACGACAGTTTTTTCCCGCCAGATGCTTCCAGCTAAAAGAATTGAGATTGGCCACCAGGACCGTCAGGAAACATCCCCTTAAAATTTCAGCTTTCTAGTTTTTCTAGTTCCCGAGTTAGCAACTTACCCGCAAGAAATTTTGACAGGTCCGTATATGGAAAGCATGTGGGTAGGAGCGCCCACTTTGGGGATTAGAGCCCGTATATGCATGTAGATTAAGTTCCCAAAGTTCCAGCCATGTAGCTTTCGTGGGTCTCGAGATGAAAACAGACGTGCATATACACATAAAGACACAGATACATGCACACACAGACAACCCCTCGACAATGTGTTTTTGCATTGCGAAGACGCAAAAAAAAAAAAACCATAAAAACTAACAAAATCGACTCCTATTGTTGAAATATATGATTCCGTATAGGTGTCGTCAGCGAATCTAAGCAGCAAGCACGACTTTCCGACCCCGGAATCGCCGATCAGCAGCAGTTTGAACAGATAGTCACTGAAAAAAAGAAAAATCAAACAGTTAACTAGAAGCAAGACTCATCCACAAGCAAAAAATGTAAATCTGAGACGACTGTGGCAAGAAATTCAGGAGAAACTTATACTCAAAAGGAAAAGCACACATGTGAACTTACTATTCAGGATTCATTGAGGCCATCGTTTCGCACCTATGCCCAGCTAACTTTTTTTTTTCTCGAATAAAATATGCCTGAAAATAAAGCACACACACACAGACAGACAAACAGACACGCACACCCCCTTGTCCCTTCTGAGTTTTCAGTTTTGGACCAAAAGTGATGTGCACTACCGGCCATTGTACACCCACAGAACGCGTTATCGCTTCGCTTCGCTTCTCAAGCACGAATGCTGAGAAAACCACCAATCGCATGAAAAAAAAACGGACTCGTCCTGCCTGCCCCATCGACGCACTCCGCGCAGCACCAGGACAATGCGCCACCCCGCCGGAGATTGGTTTCCGGGTGGAGGACGCTATGGAGGGGAGGAAACATGTGGACAGACTGAGCATCAGTGTGTACAGGTTTGACAGAGAACGATGCTTAGGAGTGTGTACGCAGCCCGGACGTACCCATATCTGGACGTGAAGATTATGTCCGCGACACCAACCGAACTACAGGCAAAGCAGAATTAACGTGCACGCACGCCATACTGTCCCCTGCTCATCCGGGCCGGAGGAGAAGCAACGCCGCCGATCCCGATGAGTGGGGGAGAGACAGGGGATGTGGTCATCTTAGCTGCCGCAACGCCTCCCCACTGGTCACTTCTCGGCTACTCATTGCAGAAGCCGTTGGGGGTTGGGGGGGAGGGGGCGGAAGAACGCCAAAGGACCTGCTGCAGCCCCCCCCCCTTTTGCTCTTTCATCCTGTTCTCCCCAGACGGAGGTAGTAAAGCGCAGGCAAGGAGGATTTTTACGAGTCAACCCGAATCCAGAAAAACGCTGGAGTTGCCAGGATGCATGAGTCATTGTCCGCAGTCCTCCTGAAGGAGCCTAGAACACCGCACCCCAGCGCCTAACACGCAACCCCACCGCCACTTCCTGCACCACCAACACCGACCCGCACCATCCCGGAAAAGCCATGCTGCTGCTGCTGTGAATCGCGTCCACGTCATCGACACTCTCGCTGCGCTATGCTGCTCCACATTTCACATTGCCACCCGCTATGCAACTGCCCTGTCCCAGAGCAGGAGGCACACGTCAAACGAAGCGAAGAGAAATTGATTTCACACAGCGTAGCGTAAGCAACCCAGGCTGAAACGCACCGGGCGAGCCGGTGCGATCATGCGTTTTTGCACCGAACTTGAATT